TCATTATCAAAAAGAGACATCTTTAGGTAAAAAAATAAAAACCCCATGCTGCATAGACAATGCAGATAGTTCTGGTATTTCTGGTCAATGGGCAAAAAGCAAGCACTTAAGGTCTTCAGCTCCAACCTTTTGTTCATTTCTTATTGCTGGGAATTTCATATCCATTTTTTCTTGTTGGATGACTAAACCAGATGACGGTAAAAATGGTAAGCTGGCATTTACTCAGCCCTGCCCTGCTCAGCCTTGGGAATGGACAAATTCTCAGGTGGTGGATCAGCTGCTTTTGTCTCTTTGCCATCTTGTGGTTTAGAGTTCTCTGGGCATTTGCGTGGGTAGTTGAAGTTGCAGCGATACCGACGTTGAGGTGGCTGCTGACCCTGGGTCTCATCTCCTTGATTTTCCTCGTCCTCTTCATTGCCATCCTCTCTAGGCTGTCTTTGGGGAGGAGGGCCCCCACGGAATCGTGGTCTATAACCCTGATACATTCTGTCTCACTGGTCTCCCATGCTCTCCTGCACCCTGGTTGTCAGCACCCTCCATCACTTCTCCCTGAACAGGAGGGTTGGAATACTGTGGTTGAAGCCCACAGGGTCTCCGCATGTAGTAAGGTGAGAACCTCGGCCTGTAGAGCCTTCGCTATTGGGCTTGGCCTTCAGGAGCACTCTCCGATCCCTCATTCTTTTCCACACTCTCACTATTCTGGTAATTCTGCTGGTAATTGTGTGGAGGACCCCCTACGACGTGGATAGCGTCTATAATGGTTACAGTCTGCTGGGTATTTACAGCCTTGAACTGGAACTCCACCAGGACCTGTAACATTTGCTGCCTCTGCATCCTTTTCTCCTTCAACATCAAACTCCATCTCCTACACTGTGAAGGTACTTCCTGGGGTTATTCTTCTTTATGGAAGTCTGGTGTACAAATACATCTTCCTTGGTGTCATTCCGGTTGATGAAACCATATCCGTTCCTTACACTGAACCATTTGACTGTTCCCAAAACCTTCGTTGTGATGACTTTTTTGTCCCCGCCGGCAGGCGCCCTGGCCGTCACTGCCCGCTGGCCGTGCAGCTACCCGTAGTGCCGGGCTTGGTGTAGGCAGCACTGAGGGCGGGGGTGGAGGTGGCTGGCAGCTGCTGGGTCTCAGCCTTCCTGTTCATGGCTGCGGTGATGGTGACTGGAGCCAGCTGGGGCAGCTGCGGCTCATCCCGGGGTGTGATGGTAACTAGGGCGGTGGTGGTGGGGCTGCTCAGGGCTCTCTGGGGTCCGCTCTCGGCTCCCGCTACCGATCGAACTCAACCCCCTTATTTTTAAGGAATGTAAATGAGGGAAAGACAGCCTCATCTCTAAAGGTTACTTAAATAAGCAATATAGTTAGCACACAGTCAATTCAGTATTAAGTATCTGCTTTTTATGATTGCTTTAAGAACCCTGATATATGAATAGATAGATCAGCCAAACATAACCAGAGGGCCGACATGCTCTTAGAAAAAAAAAAGCCAAACAAGGTCAACTTCTACTCTGTATAACACTGATGACAAATTAGAAAACAGCAACTAAAATAAAAAAGGCTAAATCTCTTCTTTTTGGAAAATATCTTAATTTCATGGCTATATGTCTGTTGCCCATGGGATAGTGCAATATGTAAAGTATTTTTATTTAGTCTCAGAATTTAAACCACAGTGAACATTTTCATACCAGAAGTAATTAGTGCATTTTGGAATAAGATTGAGAAATTTCCTTGTAGCTTTTGAAAAAGACACTGTAAAATTCTACTTTTGATAGAGATAAAAACCAGTATTATTATATAAATATAGGTAGCACATGTAAAGTATGTTTCTGAAATAGGATAATAATATCATTAAGAAAGCAACTTGTAGCAGTGGATCATTTATTCTGTTATTTCTGTCCTTAAGTATTACCAACCCAGTCTCTATCACTGTTCTAGTAAAACAGAATTTAATCTCAACGTTTTCATATTCTCACAAGCAAAGGAAAAAACTATACCACCACCACCCCTACAAGATAAATACCTTCTTTGGTTTTTTGGAGGTCTTTAAATCTAAAAAGGGAAAAGTGAAAAAGGGCTGTAAGAATCACAGTGACTCATACGTTTTATATACTTTTGGTGAATACACACATATACACCCCCCACACTATACACAACATTTAACACTTCATTTGTCTTTCAACCATATGTTTAAAGGAATAATAAAACGTATCATATCGCACAAATTCCTTTATCCTTTGGGGAAAACTGAGTGGATAAATTTAAAACAACATTGGCTATTTTCTTTCACATACCAGTATCCTGAGAGATTTTTGATAATAGAAGGCGTTGAATTCCTGCATTTTCTGAGAGTTTGGAATAATGTAAGGCATTGTGTCCAAGAGAATCTATGAGATTTAGGTCTGCACCCTTCTTAATTAAGGCTTCCACAATGTTAGAGCTGCCAGTTTCACAAGCCAGCATGAGAGGGGTTCTAAGGAAAAGGGAGACATGAATTTAGTGCTAAGCAAAGGTGAAATGCTTTCCTGGGAAATCATTGGTCTTGAAAACACGGAGATTAAGTGAAGTTAAACCTTTGCTACACAGACTTCTATGGAATTCAAGTAGAGACTACTATGAAGATGAAATCAGGTACTTTTTTTAAAACTTTGGATTAAAACAAAATATTAAACTGTATCTAGCCAAATAACATAGTCATCCACAATATTTGATATGAAATGATGGCATTTCATATGACTGGCACATAAACTGGGCTTATATCATCTAGTATTTTAAAGAAGCTATTATTAAAACTTTAAAAAATGCATACAATATATTTGCTTTGTTTCATCTAGGATGAAAAGTCATAAGATTGCTTACTCACTTCAATATTTAATAGTCTTATCACAGACTCAAGTCAGCAATGATGCCCAGATAGGTCTGGGGAAAATTATTTTTAAGTCAATCAGATTCTCAATTATCAAGAGGGTAGAAAGTTAAAAAGGAAACTACTTTACAGCATTAAAAAATCAGAACGTGGGTATCCCTGAAGCCATGACCTCGGTCTCATCATATGGTACCTTCCACTTTTGTCCCTGGAGTTGACATCTGCTCCATGATCCAGAAGAAAGTGACAGACCTCACTGTGGCCATTTAGTACTGCAAGAAGCAGTGGTATATTCCCATCCTAGGAGAGAAACTTGATTCAGATCTTAACTCCAAAACCACATACCAGGACTGCAGAGCCCTGGTCCTTTCCACATTTCTCTCCCAACTCATACAGCTAGTCTAATATTTCATCTGTCATGGTAGTCTATTGCCCCCTTAGGGCCGGCCACCTTAGGGTCATCTTAGCATAAATCTTGTGCAATTTCACTGACTTTAGCTTTTCCCTAGAAGCTCCAGCAGCTTGGTTCCATTAGCTATCACTGGGTCTGTGTGATAATGTGAGAGAGAAGAGAACGCCAACTGTGTTAGAATAAAAGCATGTGGGGGCTGGAGAGATGGCTCTGTAGTTAAGAGCATATACTGCTCTTGTAGAGGATATCAGTTCAATTTCTAGCACCTTGTGTCTGGTGGCCCACAGTTGCCTTTAACTCCAGCTCCAGGGGATTTGATGCCCTCTTCTGACCTCTGTGGGTGGCTGCACTCATGTGTACCTACCTACCCACAGAGACACATATACACACAATTTTTTAAATTAAAATCTTAAAAAAGATGAAAGCAAGAATATCATGTGTACTGAGGGGTCATGTGAAGAAATAAAGGCCTTGTCATCGCAGCATTAAGAGACTTATGCTCTAAGGTAGCTTCTTCTTCCTGAACTAATATTTCCTGCCATTCTTCTTTTCCGAGAGAAAAAATCTTTACGTAATCTTACTGGTTATCAAAATATAATAAATTAAGAGACCATTTGTCTACTAACATAAAACAAGATAAGAGGGGCTGATATTACAAAAATCTGGCAATTCCTTTGGGAAAAAAAGAAAGCCAGACCCTCAGCTCATATAAAAATTGGAGGGTTCTAATCTAAACATGATTAAGGCCAAGTATTTTTGTTCTGTGTGTGGGTTTAACATATTCTACTAGTCAATCAACAGTAATTTTTAAGTAAGAAGTACTGGCATAGGCAAAGAAAAAAAAGCTATTTAAAAATGGGAATTTAGGCTGGGCCTGGTGGCACACACCTTTAATCCCAGCACTTGGGAGCAGACTTAGGTGTATCTTTGTGAGACTGAGGCCAGCCTGGTCTACATAGCAAGTTTCCAGCCAGCTGGGGCTATAGGGAAACCGCGTCTAAAAAAAATAAGGAGTTTAGCGTCAGTGAGACGTCTCAGCAGGAAGGGTTCTTGTCAAGTGTGACGAACTAAGTTCAATCTCTAGAACACACATGATGGAAAGAGAACTGACTCCTGCAAGATGTCCTCTAACCTTCACATGCATGCCTTGGCATGACCTCCCTATAAATAATAAATGTAAAAAAAAAATTTAAGTGTAAAATTTAAAAAATAAAATTACTACTTAAGGATTAAGTTTTATAGTATAATTTCAAACAGACTGAGGTATTATCTCTGTATAGGTATAATACTTTATGGTTCTAAAATAAAAGTGGAAACTATACCCAAAATGATATAGGAAACTGTTAAGATTCAGGATTATTTGTATGTGTGTGTGTGTGTGTGTGTGTGTGTGTGTGTGTGTGTGTGTGTGTGTGTGTGTGTGTGTGTATCTAGAGTGAAATATCTTGGGGATAAGACCTATGGTCTTGATCTCACAGAGATCCTCCTGCCTCTGCCTCTCCAGTGCTGGCACTAAAGGCATTTGCCACCATACCTGGCTTAATTTATACATTTTACATGATGTTCATGAAATAAAGTTCCACTGTGTGAAATTTTCCACATATGGCATCATGCTCATGTTCAAAAAGTTTAATATTGGAGTGCTTTTTAAAATTTTTATTTATTTTTACTTTATGTGTATGAGTGTTTTGCCTACATATAATTTAGTGCACACACATGTGCAACTCCTGAGGATGCCAAAAGGTGTCAGATTCCCTGGAACAGAAGTTACAGATGGTTGCCAGCTGCCAGTTGGGTGCTGGGATCTGCAAAAGCAGTCAGTGCTCTTACTGATGAACCATCTCTTCAGCCTTGTGGAGTATTTTGAACTTGGGATTATGGGAATAGGGATGGTAAGCCTATGCTAAGGTTCAGAAAGCATGAGTTTATTTGCAGTTACTTTATATTCTCTCCATCAGGTGCAAGTGTATATATGTCAATTCTCACACTGTTCATGACACAGAACCCTACAACCATGCCATAGGCATATAAATTTCTCGTAATAGGTTAAAATAGGTGAGAAATTCTAACTAGGACTTATCCAAGATGTATAGAAAGAAAATAGAATTCCTGGTTAGTTATTTCTGTTGGTATATACTGATTGTCAACTTGATAGGATATAGAAAATCACTTTGAAGACAAATCTTTGGGCATTTCTAAATTTGGCTAATGGACATGGGAAGACCCGCCACAACAGCCAGATCTGAATAAAAAAGAAAAAGCAAGCTGAAAACCAGCATTCCTCTCTCTCTGCTTCTTGACTGTGAATGCAAAGTAACTAGCTTTATCAGGCTCCTGCTGCCGCGACTACATTCTTCCTTTCTTAAGTCGCTTTTGTCAGGTATTTTGTCATAGCAACCACACAAGTAACACACACTATTTTTTTACTTTCATGAATGAGAGGTAAACTTTACTCATATTTAGGTTGATAGCAGAATACATGTACATACTTATAAAAAATGTACACATGGTGACAGCATGCACAAGACCCATGCAAACTCAATCAGATGAGAGCCCAGCCTAGAACTGTGGAAATGGGCAGTAGGCCCCAACCTTAGCTAAGGAGTTATTGGCAACTGATTACTGCTGGGTAAGAGAAAGTTGATCTTTAAAGTAAAGAAGAAGGCTGACTTAGACTCAAGGTGGATGAACTTGCACCAAGGGACATCTAGGTACAAAAGTGCAACCCGATAAGCCTTAACACATATAACAGACCTGAACATATATTCAAAATGCATGGAGTCCGGTGGGGGGGCTATGGGAGGGTGAGACTGGGGTCGGGGGTCTAAGTATGATTAAGATGTAGTGTATGAAATGTATGAAAACTCAATAAAAAATATACATTAAAAAAAGAAAATACACACATGTAATAAGTATATCCTACAACATATTAATAGTTTAGGGGTCTATAAGGATTAAATACAAAACCATTTTGCAAAGGATCTGGTTGAAAAGCAACAGAATTGTGACAAGTACTGAGGTCTCTAAAATCAGAGGTATTCCACAGTGCTCTAGAAACCTGCGTCCGTTAACGCCCATCTGGTACATACCAAGTCCTTAAGGTTTACTGGGCTCTTGTTCTCGCAGAGCATGTGGACAGCTTGAAGGCAGCCCTGGGCCGCTAAGAGAGAAAAACAAATACCACAGCAAGTCACAACCAACCAAGTCATCAAACACTATAGGAAAGTTCACTTTTCACCCTGTCAACAACACATTCAGGGGAGTGGCAAGGGAGGTTACATAATCAGCATTTGGAAACACTGCTTCGTCTGAGAGTAGCCAGTGCTACAGGGAAGGACTCCCAGTGGCCTTTCGCTAAGCATTTCGTTTAGCCTCTCACAGCACTTGGCTTTTCTACAACTAGAAACTAGAAATAAAATAGATTTTATATACAATCACTCCAGTGAGTTTAGTATCAACATTTGTCACTTGAAGCTATGGCAGATAGTAAAGCCAAAGGTTGTTAGCAAATACAATTGGTTGATGTTCATTGTGATCCCCAATTTAAAAATATCTGTATCTTGGGGCTGGAGAGATGGCTCAGGGGTTAAGAACACTGACTGTTCTTGCAGAAGACCCAGGTTCGAATCCTAGCACCCACATGGCAGCTGACGACTGTCCTTAACTCCAGTTCCAGGGGATCTGATGTCCACTTCTGGCCTCCACAGGCACTGCATGGCACGGGTGCATTTACACACATGCAGGCAATACACTCATACACACAAAATAAATAAAAATAATAAAATATTTTCTTAAAATACATAGCATCATTTATATATTTATGACATTAAAGTCGAAATGTTTATTGAACACACACACACACCCATAGGTATTTAGTGCTGAGGATTAAAACCAGAACCTTCTGCATGCTAAGCACATCTTTTATCACTGAGTTACACTCTCAGGCCTAGTTTAAATATATTAACCATGAGAGCTGGTTGCATGGCAGGAAACGAATGAATTATAAACGTACTTCGAGATAAAACTCTGCATGATTTACAAAATGAGTAAAATGGGAATGTCTGAGAATGACGGAAATCAACTCCAAGAACAGCACAGTAACGTAAATCACTTAATAAAGAAAATGAAAAGTGAATGGTTCTTAGAGCAGGGCAGGACAAATAAGAGAACGAAAGTTACCGGCGTAGTGCAAAGCTGTTTTCCCAGTGCTGTCGGTGCTCTCAGCCGGGCATTTGGCCTGTAGGACAAAAGTAAATACTTAACACTAAAATAACTGCACAAACTCTACTCAGTTCACATAAAGAACGGCAGACACATAGTCCCACCTGCTGAGCTCCATGGGCCTGTAACAGTCCATGAGGAAGTAGACATGTCCAATCATGACACAGGCAACTGTCACCCCTGTGCTGCTCTGGCTGCGTCCTCCTCCATCACATCATCTCTTTACCACTCAGTCACCCCCACCAGCTAACATACTCTAAGATCTCTCATTTGGGTCCCCCATTGCCCCCTTTTCCTGCTCTCGTTCTCTATCCCTCTTCCTAACACCAGCTTCCCCTCAGTCACCTACAGACTCTGTTTCCTTGTCTCCTGTTCACTCCTGAATCCACTCTGGTCAGGTTATCTGCCCTCAGGATTCCACAGGGATGACCCAAGCCAAGGCCACAAGCAGTCTTCCAGTTTCTAATGACAGTGAACATTTGTACCCACCTCCCCCACCGACCAAGTTTTTATCAGTACTCCACTTCCTCTCCTTCGACAACCTGAGACTCTGCCTGGTTCCCCCCCTTGTCATTCCCGACTGCCCTGGTCATTCATTTTTCTCTAACAAAGCATAAAAACTCAGGTTTGCCACTGCTCTTCCCTGAAGCTCTCTTCCTTGGTAATCTCATCCACACCTACGCCTTTATACCATACAAAAATTTCACTGTTAATGACTCCCAAATGTTGATATAACAGTAGTGGGCATTATGTAAGTGCTATATACCAGGATCTGGACACAGAATTGCTGTAAGGCTGCTAACAACCCAAGTTTAGACACTATTCCCATGCCCATTTTCAGATGGGAAAATGGAGTTACAAATAAGTTAATAATTTGCCCAAGTTATGGTAATGGTGAAGCCGGGATCCGAACCTGTTGGAGTGTGCATCCTTACATATACATAACAGGTACCACCTGCGAGCACCAAGCTCGAGAACACACTGTGCCTACGTGACATCTCTGCTCTGACATTTTATAAGTACCAGCTTTTGATCCTTTATACAAATCCTATCTCTCAGCTACCCTCTTCTCTTTCTCATTACCTTCTCCTCAGTCCAAACTGGCATCTTTTTACATCAGCAGCTAATACAGTCTTCAGTGTGTCTCTCCAGGCCCGTTTTTCCCCACCTTAACAAGTTCTCTGCAGAGTAGAATGATCTTTTAAAGCTGTGTCTGTCATTGTCTACTTAAAAGCCTTTTGCATTTTCGCACTGAACCTAGGAATACTTACAGCCTGCCTGCCACAACGTTGTACAAGGTCTTTTATTTGGGGACATATTTTCTTACTATCTTTGTCCCTGAGTCACTCACTGGCTTTCTTACTACCCTCACTGGCACATTGCCTGCCTCAGATCCTTTGACTTGCTGTTCTGTTTGGAATATGTTCTTCTGGTACTTTGCATGTCAGGAGCCTCAACTTTATTTTCTTTTTTTCATTTTTTAAAATTTTATTTAATAATCACATAATTAGTAGAAGTGTTTCATTACAACAGCATTGACATAGTCAATAACAGTTTCCAGAGAAAAGATGCATCTCTTTCAAAATTGGCTGTGATTTTTAGGTTCACGGTGTTGAATTAATAGTTATATATGATTGTACTCAGTGTAAACCCCATGAGACATAAAATTGGATGAGGTTTTAATGACCTCCACTTTATTTTAGAATGCACTGTTTCATACAGAAAAACTCATTTTTAATGCAAATAACACCTAGATGTTTGCACATACGTCTCTAATTGCTGTATACCTGATTATTACTAGTCACTGTTGGTTACTTTCTAAGATCCTTGGCACCTGAGCATGGATATAAATTCATTAGGTACATTTCAATGGTTACTAATTAACATGAAGCAAATTTTTATGCTTCTTCCTCAATATTTTAAAATTTAATAACCACATAATTAGAAGAAGCATTTCATTACAGCTTTAACATATTCAATAACAATTTCCAGAGCAAGGATATCTCTCTTTCAAAGGTGGCTGTAAATTTTTAGGTTCACAGTTGAATTAATACAGTTATACAATATTGAACCCAGTAAAACCCTGTAAGACATAAAATTAAATGAGTTTTTAACCTTTAAAAAAGAGCTCCATTTCATTTTAAAATATGCTGTTTCTTACAGACTCATTTTTATTGCTACTAACACTTAGATGTTTGCACATGTGTCTCTAATCTCTATGTATCTGATTATTACTAGTCACAGTCTGTTACACTTGGGAGCTTCAACTTTAACAGCCCCTTATCCATGACGCCTGCCCTAGAAATCACCATTTCACAGTACTGTTTCCTTCAGAGTGGCACACACTTTGTAATGTATATTCCTGTCCTTGTTAACCACACTGTGAACTCCACTAGAATGAAAACTGCCCAGTTTGCTGGTATATACTTAGCACTATGCATGATGTCCAGGAATCATTTGGTATAAGGAAGGGGAGGAGGACCTGCACAGGGGAGGAAGAAAATTCATTTGAAATTTGCATAATCACACCAAGTTCTGTTTGTGCTTGCTGCTTTGAAAAGATAGAAGTTGAACATGGTAGCCACTGGAGAGCAGAAATATCTCTAGCAAACAGACAGAGCAAAGGCTTAGAAAGTCCAGGGAGACCCTAAATGCAGAGGCCAGGGAGCAGGAGACAAAGGGTCTCACTGCAGACAGCCTGTGTTACAAGGATAAGAGGAGAACAACTGACCAGAGAGGTCTGGGACCCAATGTAAGCAGCCCAACAGGGAGGCTATGGAAGGAGGAGTCTCTAACAGTGAGCTAGAAGGAACAGTGGTCAGATAGTGTACAAGTCGGGGGAGGTAAGAACAGGCTACCTTAAAGTGAAACGCTGTGTTAAGAATAGAGATCAAGTTACTACTTACCAAGCTTTGGCCTAATTTTAGAACAGCACAAGGAACTGTTTAAAGGCTTCAAAGGTTTCAGAGAAAAACCAATGCATTTGCATAACTAGATATAAAATTACATTAGCGGCTAGAATATCTGGTCCTAGCCCACAAGGACTTTTAGCTTGTCAGGTTAAATCTTCCTTAAAATCAGAGCCAGATGCAAGGTCTGAATGGGAATGGGGATATAAAATGCATTAGAAAAAAAAAATGAGGTAGGGCCCAGGGTGTAAATGTAGGGCACTTGGGCATGTGAATGATTTTTTTTTTTCATTTATTCTGAGGAAGGGATAATTAATGATTTGTCAAGTTATGGTAATAGTGAAGCCAGGATTTGAACCTGTAGCCTGCATTCTAGGGAAGACAAGAAAGACTCTGTGTTAACTGTCTTCAAGAGCAAGTCTCTCTCCTTAAGGCAATGTCACAAAGCACTGATCTATTTTCCTTGACTCTTGCTTCAAAGACCTGGTAAGGTTAAACATTCCTAAAATGGGCAGTGGTAGGCATCATGCAATGTAAGACAAGGAGCTGTGTGATCAATGGAGCAAGTTAAAGAATGTGACCACATTTTTGCATTAGAATTTCAAAGCCAAATTAAAGCAAGATGCTGGGTCTCAAACAGTGCTTGTGAAGGCCAGGACAACAGCTTGACAGAACAGACAGTACTCCAAACACTTATTTTATTGCTTTGTGCTGTTCCTGAAAACAGCCAGCTTGCATTTTGACTGGCAACAGCTGGACATAACTGTATAGGCTGAATTGGAGGTTTATGAAATATGCATCTTTACAGATTTATGGAAGTCATCACCTTAAGGATCATTATAAACGTCTTGGCAAAGTTAGCAAACCAGGGAGTTGGCTTAAAATTATAAAGAAGAATAAAACCAAGCACTTAAACAAGAACCAAGAACTAAAAGCTCATCAAGTTACATACCAAGAAATAATGGTTGAAACTTTGCTTATTCAGAAGAGCTGCATCCTACGAGCAGTTTATAGAGAGAATACTGAGACACTGGAGACTAGTATGACAAGGGTTTCCAACAGTTTGGGAAATGTTCTTTAGAAAAATGGATTATATATAGGAAACAAGTCCTCCAGAAAAGGAAGAACTGAATAAAGGGAGAATAAGGCTGCTCCTTGGAAGCTACTCCAAATTCCCACCCACTTTTCTTCTAGTGAAATTGCTATAGACACAAACTTGCCATGGCTATCCTTTCCATAAGGCTGCTTAAAGAGACATGGGCTGCACGGCAGTGTTAAAAGAGGTATGCATACAGGGGAGGAATTTATTTTTCGCAGACATGATTACCTCTAAATTTAAAAAGTGGCACATATGTAATTTTCAGTTACTGCTGCTTACCTGAAGGAGCTTTTTCATGCACTCAGGGTGGCTGTTCTTGGCTGCAATATGTAAAGCGTTGTGTCCTAAATGGATTAAAAGGCAAATGTTGAGGGAAAGGGCCACACTTAAAAAAAAAAATAGGCTTTCGGCTGGGCGTGGTGGCTCACAGAGGCAGGCGGATCTCTGTGAGTTCAAGGCCAGCCTGGTCTACATAGTGAGTTCCAGGACAACTGGGGCTACAGGGAGACCCTGTCTCAAAAAACAAAACAAAAAAGACCGAAAAAAAAAAAAAAAAAGGCTTCCTTATGGCATTTTCATACATACCTAGTTTTGGCAGACCACCCCCAAAACCTCATTTCTCTGCACTTCTTTTTTGCATATAACTCACCCCCAGTACTCCCCTTTCTCCATTAATGTCACATGTGCTCTATTTCCCTCCCCATGCCCCTTCTTAAAGCTTCTCCCCCACCCCATTTCTCATGATCCTCTTTCTAGTTTCATGACCTAGACCCACACTGATGCGTACATAAACACACACAAAACAATTAGAAGCTAGGATTGACAGATGAGAGAGCATATATTATTTGTCTTTCTGAGCCTGGGTTACCTTAGTACAGTACTTTCCAGTTCCAACCATTTTCCAGCAAATTTCAAAATCTTGTTTTTTTTTTTTACCACTAAATAAAATTTCACTGTGTATATGTACCACGTTTTCATTATCCATTCACCTGTTGATGGACATTTAGGCTGATCCTATTTCCTTGCTATTATGAGTAGAGTAAGTAATAGATAGGGATGTCTGGTAAGTCCTTTGGCTGTATGCACTGGAGTGGTATGGCTGGGTCATACCACTGGGTCATGCTGTTGTTTAGTTTGTTTGAGAAATATCCACACTGATTTCCATTGTTAGTGGCCCTGGTTACACTCTTACTGGTAGCATTTGTAGTCATTTGTAATTCAAAGTAAATCAGAGACCTTAATTTAAAACATGAATTGCTGAAACTTTTAGAGGAAAGCATAGGGAAAACACCTCAAGATGTAAACACAATCAAGAACTTTCTCAACAAAACACCACACTTTTACATCTTTTCTAGTTTCTATGACAAAGACAACTATGAGGAATAAACAGTTCTCCAACCAACACAGGATTGTTCTCCTAGAGCGTGAGGCTTCACTTTCTTCACTGTGACCCATGTGGGAAGAACAGAGAGCATCTCAGCCACCATGTCACATTCAGAAGCTCCAACTCTATTCCTGCAGGTGCAGCTACACTTTGGGCAGTTCTGTGCTGGACTGAGGACACCAGGCTTCCAAGTGCTGCTTTCAGTTGACATGTGTATGCAAAATGCTCCATGATAGCAACAGTCATACCAAGATAGGCCACCAGAGGCCTAGAAACCCAGAAAAGACATCATACAAGCCAGTAGAGCATATTAGAAGCCCACATATTTACTACACCCTTATGTCTGACCTCATATTTCCCTCTCCTCAAAGGTTACTCAGCCCTATATGAGTTTTCAGATTTTTCCAAGTTCTTATTTAGAAGAAGCGGGCGACAAAACAATACATATCAAGTGGCATTCCTTTAAGTTCCCTTCATGACTCCAGTATAAGATCCGGTACGTCTGTAGTCAGGAAATCCCAAGGCTCTGTCCAATTGCCCACTGCCAAATAAGCCCAGAGAACTTCCATGAAGAGGTTTAAGGGCAGCTTACAAGGCAGAAGAGGCTCACGCTTGGACTTCTACCACTGTTGTGTTTAGCATAGATTCTTTTCCCCTAGAATAGCCACACATTTGCTCTCTTACCTTTAGATTCAACTTAAAGACTGCCTTTACTGGCTAGACATATGGCTCAGTTAGCAGACTGCTTCACCAGTATGCATGATCCCTAGCACTACATAAATGGGGCATGGTGGTACACTAATTCCACCACATGGATCAGAAGTTCAAGGTCATTCTTGGCTACACAGTTCAAAGCCTTGTTGGGACACATAAGACCTTCTCTCTCTCAAAAAAAGAGGCTTTTTCTGTCCTAACCATTAAAAATTTCATTTCCTCCTTAACCTCCATTTTTGTATGAAAAAGTAAATTTTTATTTGTCAAAGTCATAGAAGATAAACTAATGTTTATATGAAATATATACTATACATTGACTTCATGACATGTTTTATACATTGATATGTATATGCACCTATATGCATACATACATATATATTATATAGGTAGATTATAGATAGATGGACATTGGTCATCAATCATCAACAATCCCCAAAGCTGAAGAAGTGCTTTACTTTGACACCTTTTATCCTCGTTCCCTGCTTAATTTCTCTATTCTTTATAAACACTTAGCATCCTGCAGTACACTTTCCTTAGTTCTACAGACAGGAGACAGATATGTGTGCCCCTCACAAGCACACGCACACTTGTGTAGTTAGTTAACTGTTCCCCTGTCCCTAGATTTCTGTCCCACCCACTACTGAATCCCTAGATCCTACAACACGGCTGGTCACAGCTGGTTCTCAATACACTATGATCAATTTAAATTAAAGGGTATGCACATTTCAAATGTCTGTAGTAAGAAGCTTGCTGCAACTGATAGCCAACTCAATACACGGAGTCTTAAATCTTGTATTTCTCAAACAGTTTGACCAACATATCCCCCAAGGTAATACTTGTAAGAGACCATTACTTTAGGCCAGACTTCAAGCCCAGTTTTGACCTCAATACTGTCCACTATTGATATTTTACACTGGATAATTGCTAATGGTGGCCATCCATAACTGTGGATGTTAATGTGTCTTCCTGGCCTCTACCCATGAGATGTCCAGTTGAGAGAAAACTGATTTATGACATTGCTAAATGTCTGCTGAGTGCAAAAATCGCCTGTAGTTGAGACCTATCAGTTTAGAAAAGAAATTTATTTTATATGGTGGCTCACTTCCAAAACACTGTCCTCCATTTTGGTTAGTTTTCACTCAGCATTAACTAGAATTTATTAAAGACATGGCTAGGAAACATGTATTTAGAGATTAGAGAGGATCACAGGGAACTGTACAAAAGAGTGTGTGTGGTCAAAAGAACAGATCCCATGGCTAGAGAGATGGCTGAGCAGTTAAGAGAACTTGCTGCTCTTCCAGAGGACCTGAGTTTGGTTCCCAGCACCCACATCAAGGGGTTCATAACCTAGCCTGTAACTCCAGCTCTTGGGGATCTGACAAGTTCTTTTGGCCTTCATGCATACACATGGTATACCACATAGATACACACACATATACACACAAATAAAATAAATTAGTTAAAAGAACAGATCCCTTCCATTCACAAGAGATATCCTGAGATATTAAGGCATGTTTGAAGGGTGCTTGCTTAGCTGAGGTGCAATACTGAGGCAGGAATCCCTCAACCCTCCCCTGAAAGGATGAGGATGAGGAAAATTAAGAAGAGATGAGAGGAGAGATGCTTGGAAATAGGAAAACAAATTTCTCTTTCCCCCCCTTCCTTCTTTTTTTTGTAAAAGATGCCCCTCTGTTTTCAGGATTAAATAAATTATGAGAGTGTGAGTCTAGATGTATTATGCATTAGCTAAGCTTGGTAGCTAGCTTGTCCTTCCCAGTCATCATTTATACCACTGTTTCTAAGGACAAGCAAATTCTAAATATTAAACAAATGCCTTATGAGTGAACTTCTGGAACACATCCTGATTGTAAATTGGAGACTGTTTATACTGTGCGTGCAATGCCTTAACTGTTGTCTATGCTGTGAATAAAAGCTGTTCCACCCAAACAGCATTCATTTGACAAAGGCACAGTGTTCAAAGACAATGTGGCAGGGACATTTAAGCAACACGCCATAACTAAATAACGGGCTTTCATTTCACTTCCAGAGTTCTAGTCATTCCTGGAAGCAAGTGATTGATGTCTAGGGAAGCAAATGCTCTTCTGTTCCCCAGTGACTGGGTCCTAAACAGCAGGATGATAGTATTTCCCAATCAGTCTCAAAACCACAATCACAAACCATACCCTGGACACTACTGCAGTAAATGAGATGTCTCTCATTGCTAACATTGAAACAAAATTTTCTTTCCAAATGTAAATTCTCCTGGATGCAATCTATCATATTAGTGACAGAATTTCACTAGAAGAAGACAACACATACATCTGACTCCTAAAAAGCTGTGGATCTGTCTGAAATATCAGACAGTGACTTCGCTACAAATAATGACAATAATAATTTAAGTTCATTCTGGGTGAACTTGGCCTATAAATAAAAAGACCAGCACTAATTAGAAATCTAAGCAACTCTAAGCATCTTCTGATCATTTTTTCAAAGCTCAATACTTCTGGAGAAAAATAGGAAGAACTAACTAGCACAGCAGAGGAAAGCCTGACAGGACTAAGATCACACTTCTCAAGAGCATGTGTCATTTTTCAACATCTGGAAATAAGATAATTATATAATGATCATGTTGGAGGGATAGAGGGGCATGTGGGGAAAGGAAGTGGAGGGATATGATCATATTTCATAATATACATATATGAAGTTCTCAATAAAAAGAAAAAGAAATGCTCTGGATGGCACAGGGATAAGGAAAAGAGGCTGGGGCCCCATTGTACGGAGTAGAGCCGCCTCACCAACATGGCACTGTCAACTGAGAATGATGAAATTCTGATGTTTTAGTCGGTCTTGTTTTGAATTCGCCATATAGTCTCAAATGCATATGCATGTTAATATGAATAAATGAAAGCCTGGGACTGTTGAGATATGAACACTGCCCATCTCACTTAAGCCTGCAAAGCCATCTAAAGAATATGGATAGTACTCAGCTCATAAAATTCACTGTAAGGCACCTATAAAAATTTTCAGAATTCCAAGCATTTTATATGGAAGGATAACTAAAAAGATAGATATTAAAAATCCTTTTGCTTCTAAATACCAACTCTATTCAATAGTTTATAAAAGGTAGAAAATCACAATTCAACCATCCTATAGCTTTTGTGGATAAAAAGAATAAAAGTATCCATGTAATATATTTTGAAAGGAGTCCCCCTACCCATGCTCAAAAATCCCTACAAGAGCCAGGCTTGGTGGCTTATCCTGTAATCCCAGAGCCTGGGAGGCAAGGCAGGAGGACTGATCAAAGTTTAAAGCCAGCTTGGTCTATATAGTGAGTTCAATGCCAGCCAGGCCTTTATAGCAAGACCCTGTCTAAAAAGCAACAACAATAAATCCCTACAGAGTAAGATTCATGGTAATAGATTTTTTTCCTATCAGTTCTTACTAGGTTCTCAAAACGAAGGTTACTGCATCTAAGTAATACTGCAGTTTATTGAAAATACCTTGCTTGTCAGAGTTGAGTTACTTAATTCATTCTCTAATCATTAAAAACATTTGGGGCTAATGATGATTGCTAAGGCTCCATGACTCATTCCTTCCCTCATTCAAATGTGCCTTCTTGAAGGAGAGTAAGAGTGGACACCATAGCCAGATCACAAGAGAGACATAGGCAGAGGCAGCGAAAGACACCACAGTTTATCCTGTCTGTTGTGGTACAAAACACCAAAGGATCAATGCCTAGATAACATGACAGACATCTCCATATGCTTCTCTCCATGCAGCCTTTGCCTTCTTTTGTTCTTGTGCTCTGCACGATTTCATGAAAACACTGAAGGAGACAGTGTCTCGTTCAGGCCTATACAGAACAGTAAAGTCAAAGGAGCGTGGCGCTGGTCTCATTGCTGAAACTATCAGGTAAGAGGGGAGTGACTGGAAGCTCTGAAACTTTGTGTAACATACTGACAATGTCCTGGGTGATAAAGTATATAGATCCACCAATTTCTATCATTTCTTACTGGCCAACACTGAGAAGCATCAAAGAAGGGTCAGAGAACTCCCTCCAGTGGCCCTTCTTGGAGGACGACGCCATTTTGGTTTGTAAAGGGGTGGCACTGAGCTAGGATGCTCAGGGCTCACCGCTGACACTAGGCATCCATAAACCAAGTTAGAGATCTGATCATAAATACAAAACATACCAACATGGCCATAAGTGGCCAAAAAAAAAAAAAAGGCTATGCTTCGTAAGCACTAAATGATATGAGTAGAATATTAGATAAAAAGGGTGAGGCAGGGTATTGACTCAGTTTCTGAAGTGCTTGCCTTCAACCTGAGTTGAACCTGACTTCAGTCCGTAGAGGCCACATTAAGTAAACCAAGCATGGTGGTGTGGGCTTATAATCCCAGTACTGGGGAGGCAGAGATGGGAGTATCCCTGGGGCTTGCTGGACAGCTAGCGTAGCCTACTCCATAAGCTTCAGGCCAGTGAGACTGTGTCTCAACAAACATGGTGAACTGCACCTGAGGAACAACATTGCAGGTTGTCCTCTGGCTTCCACATGCACACTACCACAAGTGTACCCATTTATTCTTTTTCTTTTCTTCCTCTCTTCCAGTTCCCAGGTGATTAGGAGGCACTGAAGTAAGGGTGAGAATTTGAAGGTCAGGCCTTCAATCCACAAAACTCATCTCAGCTAGCTAATGAAATGAGTTACCAAATAACCCACTCCATTTATCAGCTTACACAGTCATTCATCAACTCAAGAATAATGGGATGTTGGGTGGTCTCTACATACAGTCTTAGAAATGGCTGCAGAGCTTGAGATCGAAAGTGATTCTGTTTTCTTCTTTGGGCTTAGCTACAGACTCTAAATTTTCCACAGCGAACATGGACCACCTTTGCGACACCTACTGTCATGCTGACGTGCTGACTGAAGAGCGTAGAAACCACATACCAGTAGTATCTTGGGCGGTCACATCCACACCGTGTATAATCATGACCCTGAGGCATTCCACTTGTCCTTTCGCAGCAGCAAGATGAAAACTGGCAAGAGAAGGAAACACATATCATTAGGATTTCATCACCTTGAAGTTCATCTCCAACAAGGCTTCACTTCTTCATGGTACACCTTCTCTGACCTGACTCATGCATGTAATTTTATACTGCACCCATATAATCATATTTTTAGTTAGTAAAGTCATTCTTAGCTCATGTGATTAAAATTAAAAATGTCATTATTTCAAGGCATTTCTCCAAGACACCCTCATTTCCTGGTGTTTGTTGTAGACTACTGCCATAAAAAAGCTGCCACTCTACTTTCTAAGACCCATGAGCATACTGAGAAGCCCACCCAGCAGGAAAGGGAAGAGTGAGTTGTCATGGTCAGAAGTTGCCAATTCATTTTCCCAGATGGAGAAGAAGCTTTCCTCCACATCATTCCCACTCACTAAGCATGCAATGTGGAAAATCAAAGCAAAGCTAAAGGCAGTATGTGAATCTGCTCCTGGGAGGAGAGCCTCCAATGCTGAGCCCTTTTGTCGCCCCAGATCTGTCCTGGGCTCTTACCCCTGGGCCTGTGGCACAGGGAGTCCTGAAATGGACTGCATCCAGTGAGATGCCTGGTCTTTGGCTTCTGCTTGACTCTGGTCAATAAGAGTTGCTTTCAAGAGGCAAAGGATATAAGGAAAGAGTTTGGACAGCACCTTTTGCTTCCTCCTTGTCATGCAGAGACTGTGTTCCTCTATGAAACTGCTGTTGTGACGGCCACAGCTCTGGCCTCTCAGTGAGTTTGAGTAACTGTTCTCCCTCTCTGCTCTTTCCATCAAGTTTAGAAATGGAGTCTCACTATCGCTAGCCCAGGATGCATTCCCAATTTGGCTAACTTCCCTTAAACTAGCAATAGACTTGCGAGGAGCCCCTTTCTTAACCTATCATCAATCACATCTGTCTTCTAGAGGATGCTGGATCACATATGTTGTATGTGACCACCTACAGGTTGATCCATTAGGCTCCTGTAAATATTATTTGAATAGTCCTCAGGGCAAACTAAGGCTTTAAATATGATTCTATTGCCACATTAACTGGGTTATTAAATTTTGGGGGCATTTTAGGCAAAATGCTTTCAGAGACTATATCATATAATTATATAGACTACAGTGATTCCAAAATTTTTCAGATGTACTCTAATGCTATAGTAGAGATTAATTTCAAGGGTCAAGATTACACTTCTCTGAGAATAAGAAAAACGATCCACTTCAGTGAGAGGCTTAAGTCTGGTATGTCCCACGTGCTAAAATAAATGCTAAAATTCCTATTTTCAGCTGTGAATCTCACTTTGACGGGGTACATCCCACAATATTATGGGCTACTGATCAGAAGTAGCATGGATATCACCCTACAGAAAAGCAAGGTAGGTACACTGCACTGCTGTTATTTACTTTGTGTATCTAACTTGGATAGCTAGTTATCTTAATGTTTTAACTTCAGGAAATCTAGACCTTATTCCCAACACCCATGATGTTGCAAAATTAATGCTTCCAGTATTATCAAGGCTTAGACAAGAACAAAAACAGGGAGTGAGTTGAGAAAGTAAAACAAGAAGTCCAGTGAAGACAGGGAGGTAAAATGTGTAAACTTTACTGGCTCAGAGTAACTAGTTTGAACAGGCACCTTGCTATTTAATTAATTAGTGTGATCTTGGGCAAAAGTTCTCTGTGCCTCAGTTTGTGCATCTGTAAAATGATCTGTTAGGAAAGAAGAAATCATATGTAAAAGCACCTAGCAAAACATCAAAGATAATAAACACTGCACCAAAATGCCATCAAGCTTTATAGCCTCATCCACATGAGACAAAACAAGAGTCTGTAACATGTTGCTTAATGAAAGAAATTCAATGTCCAGAAAGTGCAGAATTGAAATCTGGCCCACCAGTACTTTAAAAATGAAGATAGAGAGGGGGTAGGAGATGAAAGCTGTGTGTGTGTGTGTGTGTATATTTCCAGTGAATGGAAACTTGGGAACCAAGTTGTAGGCAGCCACAGGCTGCAAACACCCATGCTCGACCAACACTTGAGCTGCTTATGTTCTGGCACCTTTTGCTGAAGTGATGATCCCCAGAGCGGCATCTGGCAGCAGCAAGCCATTAACATTTAGCTTCCCAATCAATGTGAACCAGAGGCAGAGCCAACTTTTAGCAAGGCACTCAAGTGGAACAATGGATTTCATTGGGTGGCAAAGCACAACTTGTTGGTGACAACACCTTGATTTGTAGGTGACAGAGAGTATATTTCTTCTCCTATGCAGTGAGTGATAAATGTGGGCATTTTCAGAGGTGACAGTCTAGAGGACTGATGGACAGGGACCAGCCCCTGTCTTGATGGCAGGCAGGTACCTGCATAGTTACTGCAGACTTAGGGAATGGATGGTGTCCCAGGCCACCACATAATGCAGAGCATGGTTGGTACCCCTATGGCCTGTGTCCTGGAAAGCTGGCGGAAAGAATCCACCTATAAATAGCTTGCAGATTGGGATGAGGAGGATCAGGGTGGGTTGACCAAATCCTACACACAAACTCCCCTTTAAACATGCTTTTCTGACAATGTTAACTGGAATGAGCTAACTCAAGTATGAGAAAATAAATCCTGGTATTTTTTATAGCTGTGTATTTTTAAAATATTGCTGCTACTACAGTTAAATATTCATTCACATATTACTATGATACTATGGTATCTGTGTGTCAATTACTGTGCAAAGCACTGAGAAATAGTGGCAAATAAAACAGAGTCCTTTTCTACAAAGTTCAGCTTTTAATACAAACCTAAAGGTTAACCAGGGGTTTCAACTGAGTGATGGGAATGGGGACACACACACACACACACACACACACACACACACACACATACTTAGCACCATCCAGAGATTTTTGGTCACTAGTAGGGGAGGGGAGCAAGGAGAGGAACCCCAACTAAAGTGTAGAAGTCAGAGATAACTGCTAAACATCCTACTACCAGAACAAGACAGTGTCTATCTCAAAACATGAATCATTCCCAGGTTGAGAAACCCTGGGCTAAACCATTAAAAAACAAAGTATAATGTTGAAGCATAATTCTATTAAAGACTGAAGACACAAAATGAGCACATAAACTCACCATTTTAAAATGGACAGCTCACTTGTTTTTAGTATATTCACACAGGTATGCAATCAACCTCCGTCACTGTGACCTCTCCTTGCTGTGACAAAAATCCCTGACCGACAGAACTTAGGAGAAGAGGATTTATTTTGCTCATGGTTTCAGAGGTTTTGCTCCATGGTGAAGATGGCATAGTGGAGCAGAGATCTACTACCATGGTGGTCAGGAAGCAAAGAGAGGAGAAGGAACCTGGGTGAGGTAGAACCTTCAAAAATCATGCCCCAGTGACCTACTTCCTCCTACCAGGTCCATCTCCCAAAATTTCCACCATCTCCCAAAACAACACTACCAACTGGTGACCAAACATGCAACACATATGCCTTGGGAGGAAACTACATATTCAAATCCTAATACTATATAATTCCAGATTTTTTTCAGTGCCTTAAAAAGAAAATCTCTGTATTCCTCAATATATTCACTCCTTATTTCTCTGTCCTCTTAGTCCTTGAAAATCACTAATCTGTTTCTGTCTCTATTAATTAGCCACACTGTGAACATTTTTTAGAGATGGGACCAGACAGCATGTAGCCCATTGACTCCAGCCTCATTTACTATGTTTCAAGGTTCATTCATCACCAGTATTTCATTGCTTCTTTTTTTTTTTTTTCTGTCTTTTTGAAATAGGGTCTCCCTGTAGCCTGGAACTCACTAAGGAGCCCATGTTGGCCTCAGTCTCAGTTTACGTCTGCCTCCCAAGTGCAAGGATTAAAGGTGTGCACCACCATGCCCAGCTCACATTGCTTCTTTAATACCATTCCGCTTCATGAATATACTACATTTTGTTTATCCACTTATTACTTGACACATATATAGACTATTTCTGCTTTTGAAGTATTGTTACTGCTAAAACATACATGTAAAGTGCTTATGTGAATGCATGCTTCCAATGCTAGTAGGTATGTACCTAGCAGTCGAATTACTGAGTCATAAGCTAACTGTATTTAACTTTCTGGGGTGCTGCTAAACTTTCAAAAGCTACTACATTATTTTATATCTCTGACAACAATGTAGGAGGATTCCAATTCTCCACGTCCTGGCCAAGGATCGTTTTAGGCTGCCAAGTTTTATTTAAGAGATGAGAATTTTAATTACAACCTAAAATGTCCAGAGGCAAAAAAAAAAAAAAAAAAATCAAACATTTAAGTCTTTTTGCTCGTCAAGGAGCAGACTGGTGTGTTGTAGAGAGCATCACATAGTAGGGACCATGAGACTGAGGGTTACAGTCCTGTGATCAACAGGACCTCAGGAGACTGTCACCTTTGCTAACACTTTGACCATAACCATGGGAAGACCTATGCGGAAGATCTAGCTAAGACAGGATGCTGAATTTCTGATCTACAGAACTATGGGATAGTATCTTTCTTGATGAGCCCTTTTAAGTAGTTAGTTCAATTAATTATCAGCTGAAATTTCCCCTTAAAGGAATATAAAAAGAATGAATGCAAACAAATTAGAAACACCCTTTGGTTTTGTCTTTACATAAGCATTTTTTTTAATGTAGTTGGAAAGATTTTGTTTACTTGTCTTTTCATTTAGGTAGGTCAAAAATTCAGTCGAGGCAGAAAGGTTTTAAAACCCTTTTATCTACTCCTCTAACACCTCACCTAGAGACTAGTCACCAACCAGGGTTATGCAGAGTGGCTGTTAGATTCTGATGGAGCTAAAGTGATGGCACGTCAGTAACCTAAGTCTTGCTCACTCACACAGTGGTCCATGGACCAGGACCTTGTTACAATTGTAGGTTCTCAGACCCCACTCCATATCTAAATGTCAAAAGCTGCATACACCAGATAGACCCCCAGAGACTTATGCACACTAAAGTAAGAGGCACTGACCATCATTTTCCCCCCAAGA